TTACTAACAATTAAGCTTGAAAGCATGCCCAGAAAATCGGTTGGGTAATTATTCAAATTTTTCTTTGCAAAAGATTATGATAGTAAAGAGAGCGTTCAGTAGGGCTAGGGGTGGGAAGAAAGGAGAGAGTACCTGCTCGTCACGAAACCAGGGGAGGCGCGTCCGCCGCGTTCGTTGTGGTGAGGAAAGGCCGTGTCGCCCGTCGCCATCGGTCCAGTTTTTGCAGCGCGGCGAGGTGATCGAGGGATGAGGCGGTGCCGAACACAGGAAGGGAGGACTTGTAACTCCCCGGACACACCCGCTGGTGGTCGTTACTCCTGACGAGATCTAGACTGGCCCCACAGATCAATAATAGTATTTTCTGCGCACTTTGTCCTTACTCGTGCGCACCCGGGAGCAATTTCCCAGTCAGTCACCCATCCTGAACTTACACCAAGCTGAGCACGCTTAACTTTGGAGTTCTTTCCGAATGGGCTCCCGAAAAAGAAGAAATTCCTTATTAATATGAGTAGTCTAACATCTCTATTAAGCCAGGCTATCACATATGAGCTCGTGCCCTAATGCAAGGATGGCCGATGGGAACTGGGCTGGGCCTCAAGCGAGTCACCGAGTTGGACCAGGCGAAACTCGGCTCGGTCGAGAATCAGGCTCTTTATTGTATCGGGCCGAGCTGGAGCGAGCTTCGGGCCGAGCCGAAAAGCTCGCTCGGATGTCTAGTCCTAGCTTTTAGCATGCTACTAGCGCTACAATAACATAAAATCCGCATAACTACCAGGGTACACTAGTTACCATTTGGACCAAAACTGATCGCGATTATGATGAGGATGGACCGCCCGCAAGGGCTGATGTGGCAGAAATGTCAACTCCGTTAGTTTGGACTGTTAACTTGGCCATTATGTCAGATGGGCCCACATGTCAGTCTATAAAAGAATATCAATAAAATTTCCAAAAATAGTTTTTTGTTAGGTCCTGCAAAAGTGATAGTTTTCAAAAATACTTGCCACAAAAGATGAATACCAGCCCCAAAAGCCGGAGTTCTCTCAAAAGCTTCCTAATTCCTAATACATTTTCCAGTAAACCTACATCTACGGGGAGCTACATATATGTTACAGATCTTTTCAACTAATTCCACCGCCCCTTCCTCCTAATCTTCTATATCTAAATACTTGCCACAAAAGATGAATGCCAGGCCCAAAAGCCGGAGTTCTCTAACAAAGGCTTCCTAATTCCTAATACAATTTCCAATAAACCTACATCTACGTGGAGCTACATATATGTTACAGTTCAACTAATTCCACCGCCCCTTCCTCCTAATCTTCTATATCTAAATAGTTAGCCACCACTAACATATTTCTCTCAACTTGTAAGTATGACACCTCATCAAGCAACATGCATTATAAAGGGCCACCAATCCAAATTCTACGACCGGGTTCCGCCATTGCAGCCCGAGGCCACGATGAAGCCATGTGGATGGCCATTAGCTACACACAGGCCAATAACTTGCAGGATGTGCGGTGCACTATGAAGGTGGCAGCCGGCAATGGCGGCAGCAATTGCGAGTTCACTAGCATGGAGGGGGACGAGTAGTTAGGCTGTGGGGTGGGAGGAAGATAATGGAACTGTCGCCAAGGAGCAGCAGCAGAACCGTGAGGGGATGTGTTTCCGCATACCTCCTATTCATATCATCTTGCACCAGTCGAACCCATCCTTCTTGTTATTTCCCTATTTTCCTTTCTAGGTCTGATACATGGTATGCAGCCATGTAGGAGACTATGAGAAGTATCTTCCAAACTACAGAGGCGGCGTGTCTTTTTCATAAGGACAAGTCATGCTTAGACGAGGACAGGTAGGTGGGCTCGTTGGCTATCAATTACCTCCAAATTAAAATCAGAATCATCTTCTGCTACAAAAGAAAACCTTTGTACTGAGATGTTTCAATTAAATTGTCTCTGCATTATTTGAAGCGAAGGAGAGATATGTTCAGAATGCTATGCATGGAGAGGCGAGTACTACGGGACTATAAATGCAAAGTTATGGGGAGACGTGACTCACATGACATGATTATGAAACACTACGGCCTGCATCATTGTGTTATGGATGGGCTCTTTTAAGGTGAGAAGGAGGATTCTAGCAACCTCATAAAGCAGCTTTTTTCCTTGTTATCACTTATCACCCTTGTTTTCCAGCCAAACTACAAAAGAATGTTTCATCTCCATAAAGAAGAGTAACCTTGAGGATGGAAATTTTGAGCACTCATTGTTAATTGCAACATAGCACAAGAAAATATCTGTAGAAAATGAATACACAATTTTCAACGGATTACTTCGATCAATCCTTTGTTGCGAGCGTTCCATAATGCCCACGACATGGCTCCCACGCCTATCTAGCATCCCTGGCCGACGTGTTAGATATTATCTGTTATACATTGGCAAATCCCAAGGGATTCCAACTGCACCCAGTTGATTCCCGGATCACACTCCACGTGACCGAGTCACTATATATCTGAAGAGGATGTGATCCCTATCCTCCAATATACGGCATCAAGGGCATTTCCCATCACCTGGGCCATGACTTTTCTAACTTGGTCTCCACTTGGGATTTGGTTCCGAGCTGCTTCCCACAGAAATATTTGAACTATTGCCGGTATCTTGGCTTTCCATAGCCCTGACAAGTCCATTATTGGCGCCGTTTTGAAAATCACCCTACACAGGGAACCGTAGAAAATTGGCTGGAAGGATCGGGTCTCCATGTGACCTCATCTCTGCCCAAGGTGGGTCGCTAAGGTTGTAGAGCATTTGACATGTCTTGCCATTCGCTTATCTCCAGCGCCCCAAATTTTTGCCGAAATGTTGGTGCCCCACCGTTGTTGATCCATACACCTGCCACATTGTCATACTCTTTGTCCGAAATAGCATATAGGTGCGGCTATTTTTTGTGGAATGGTGTATCCTCACACCAAGTATCAAGCAAAACAAGGCTAGCGTCCCGTCCCGGATCGTCTATTTCATGCCCAAGGGTAGGAGGGGCTCCACATTTTTTATGGCTTTGGGAAACTGAGATTTTTCTGGTGCGCTCCTGCCCTCCCTTCGTCAACCGCTACATATTTTTTCTGATATATCTGTAACCACAGACATTAAGAAATAGGGTTTCCTTCCGCTTTATAGATAAAGCATCACCGAACAACCGAATCCGGTCGATACAAACACACACACCACAGCACACACATCCAAGGCTGGATACAAGGACGCTGATAGCAGCAGCACTACCCCAACAAAATCCTAGCCAACATCAGATGAACACAAAGAGCACTACTACGGAGATGTTGGGGCCCTCAACCGTGGGCGGGCCACCGCGAAGAGGAGAAGCCATGTAGGACGAACAATGAGCTCCAAAGCGGCGCCTTCAGCAAGGGAACGACACCATCGTGTCGCCACCGCCCAATCCAAGGATTAGAGTTTCCCCCGGACCACTCCGACGACAAATGAGATTCCACGACGGCGCCTTCAAGAAGGGGACGATGCTAGAACGCCACCGCCGTCGGCCTGGCAAAGCAGAACGGGTTTTCACCCCGCCAACACTCATCGTCACCGGATTGGGTGAACGACCCACCCCGGTCAACACGTCGCCCACGCCGCCATGCTGACCAGACAACGCTCGAGCCGCGTGCTCCGCCCAAGAGCACCCCGGCTCCCACCAACCAGGCCGCCGCCACGGCATCCGAGCCCCACCTCAACCAGGACACACCAAACAGACGCGGCCGGTCGGAACGAAGCGGAAGCTTGCCTTCCACCCCAAAGCCGACACCTTGGCATGGTCAATGACCTCGGCGGCCGGATCAGGGCCAGGGGAACTCCGGCGGCCACCCGCAGCAGCCGCCAGATGCAACGGAGGGGGCACCCTGCCCCTTCCTGAAGTCCCCTGCCACCACCAGCAGGCCTCGCACACACCACCACACCATGGCGCCACCCCTGCCTGACGAACCCGTCGCTGAGTCCAAAGAAGAGGGAGGGAGCTCACCCGAGTCCGACGCAGACGAACCATCGCCGGAAAGACCCGCCATTGCCGCGCGCAGATCGGACCTCCACCAGGCCGCAGCAGCGCCGCTGCAGACCACCCCACTCCGAGGTCAAGACCGACCTCGGCCACCGCCATCCAGGAGCCAGATCCGGGAGGATCGGGCCAGATCCGCGCCAGCACGCCACCGCCCAGATCGGGAACCCCCGCGGCCGCCACGCCGCAGATGAGCCCACCGCTGAACTCCGAGCACGCCGCCGCGCCGCCAGCCCTGTCAAAGCCCGGCGCCCCCACTGAAATGCTGACGCGTGGATGCCTTTTGGTCCCGGTTGGTACCACCAACCAGGACCAAAGGCCCCCTGACTGGGCTCGGCGCACAGGGCCACATGGAGGCACATTGGTCCCGATTCGTGTTTGAACCGGGACTAATGGATGGAGGTATTAGTAACGACCCATTAGTTCCGGTTCATGAACCGGGATTAAAGGCCCTTACGAACCGGGACTATTAAGTGTTTTTCTACTAATGGGAGTATGATGCTAGCGGAAAAAACTAGGCACATGCACAGTTGAAAATGAAAGGCAGAATCCGTGGTGCAAAGTCCTTGTCAAGGGACGGCAAGTGGCCCAGATCTTTGTCGTACGGGCGCGCCCACCTGAGCGCAGGGCTGGCTGGCAGCCACTGCGGGGCCGCTAGCGTCGCTGTCGCACGTCGGGGCGACGCGGACGGATTTGGCATACAGCGTCCCCGGATTAGGCATACGGCATCCCCCAACAGGCGCACGCTCCAATTGGAAACGACGTCCTTGCCCTTGGTGCGTGGCCCAGACGCGCGGCCAAGTTGCAGCGGCGCCTTCACGTGCGCACAGCGCCCTCGACCGTCCATGTCGCCGTACAGATAACGCACAACATTATTGGCTCCGCGCCTACATATTCAAGCACGCAGTAGCAGAAAAACAGCCTGCGTGGTAGGTAGATCATTCAAATCGATGGCGGCGGGAGGCGTGTGGGTGTTCCGGAAGGACGGGGTGATGGAGCTGGAGCGGCAGGAGAGCTCGCCGGCGACGAGCCGACGCGGCAAGGCGCTGGTGTACGTGCCGGCGAACGAGACGATGCGGTCGCTGGAGGCGCTGGAGCGGCGGCTGGGGTCGCTGGGCTGGGAGCGCTACTACGAGAACCGAGACCTCGTGCAGCTCCACCGGCGCGACGGCGGCGTCGACCTCATCGCGCTCCCGCGAGACTTTGCGCGGCTTCGCTCCACCCACATGTACGACGTCGTCGTCAAGAACCGGCATCAATTCAAGGTTGTCGACATCTGAAACATTCATGCAAGATGCTTCTACCTACTTTCCCTGGTCAAGCTTGCTAGTCTGTTTTGCAAATAAGCGCACCAGCATAATGGTGTGCGTGTTGTATGTCTTGTATTGTATGATGATGCTTTTGTACGTTTCTGAATTTCTCCAGTTAGCTAGTGCCAGTCTTTTAGTATTTGCTTGAATCTCACTCTGTTTGTTACACCCTCTCTTTCTAAATGTAATCGTTTTGACAGTTTAAATTGAACTACCAAAACGTCATGCATTTAGAATTTCTGCTTTGGTAGTACTCCGGCTCTCTCTGTTTTAGTGATCTAAACGCTCTTATATTAGTTTACAGAAGAAGTATTATTTTTGTTGACATGGTTGCCCGTGTTTTGTAAACTAAAAGCAGCCAGCTTCGAAATTTCTGACTGTGCATGCATGCATGGCTACGAGTAACTGTACGTGGCCAGGCTGCATCCACACGTTGGTGCATGGACCTGCAAATGGCTGAAAAAGAGCAAGGAATCTAGAGGAGCAATAGCACCTACAATTGTGCGCCTCAAACCTGCCTGAAACGACCGCAACGTGTGCCCGGTCAATATATGGTCAAAACAAGTTAACACAACCGGATCCTTCACTTAGTCATTAGAGCAGCTCTAACGAGCCGACTCAAACGGACGGCAATTTTATCCGATTTTCGTCCGTTTCGGTCGGCAGCCCACTCGGCGTCCGTCTTTTTTATCATTTGGGTCGGTAGTGCGTCCAACGCGCCGATCTATATTTGTCGGCATGGCTGGCTGGCTACAGTTTTTCAGCAAATATGCACACATTTTGCATTGTTTCACAAGCAAACATATAAATAGCATAGTTTCACAACCAAATAAAGTATACTTTCACAACCAAATAAATTTAGCATAGTTTTACAAGCCAAATAAAAATTAAATTGTAATACATGTAAAAAAGATATATCTATTGGTTGCCAACATGAGCCCACATATGCTCAACCAAATTTTGCAACTACATGTGAGTTTCCCAATCACACATTTCATGATGAAATTGAATGAACTATGCAAACGTTGCAGCTCCATGCTTAGGCACAACATTCTCACCCAGGTGGCTGGTCTGACAGCGTCCGACGAGTGTGCCGACGTCAGGACAGTGGTTGTTGTCGGACGAAGGAGCTAGCCGAGGCAGGGAGGCGGCTTAAGTGGGGACGTCGGAGGGTGGGGTGGGGAAGCTTCAGTGCCCAGGCGGCTAGGCGGTGGTGCCGGCGATGTGGGAGGTAGCGGTGTTGGGGGAGGTGTGTTGGCACCGGCTGCTGGCAGAGGCATCGATAATGGGCAGCGGCGGCGACGGAGCGGGTGCGGGTGCGGGCGAGGGTTTGTTGCCGAGGATGGTCAATGTGCCACCGATTGGCAGGCCAGGGGAGTAGCTGGCGTGCGGCGCGCGCGTCCATCTCTTGTCCGTGTCGATGCAAATCAAGCTCCAAATAGGGCCTGGAATTGGTCGGCAGACGGACGAAAGGCAGACGCGCACCCGTTTGGGTCGGCGCATTGGACCGACATTTCTGTCTGCCGCGACCAAAACGGACGCACGTGGACGAAACGGGTCGGCACGTTGGAGTTGCTCTTAAACGCAATTGGTGCCATTGGTATTACGCTTTGAGAATAAATATAATGAAAAAGAAAAAAAAACTTACACACAACTTTGCACTAAAATTGCAGTTTTATAGTATGCAAACTACAATCATATAATGGTGTAAGTTTTGAAAAGATTGCATAGTTTTGTGTCTGTACATTTACACTAAGCTAGTCTTGGCCATGGGCAGCCCGGCCCGACCCAACCTTGACCACTGGTCCGGCATGTGCCTTAGATCTAGGCCTGAAGGCCGGGCCGGGCCCAGCATCTTTTCTGCCATTTAACGAAGAGGCTCGGCCGAGGCCCGAGGCCCAGCGGGCTTTTCTGTTGATGGGTCGGGCTTGGGCTTAGATTATAGGCCTGATGGTCGGGTCAGGCCATGCCCGGGCCTAGGTTTTTTGCGTCGGGCTTGGTCAGGCCAGGCCTGAGTTTTCCCTAGGTCTACACTCAGCCAACATCCAAAAATACCTACAAAAGAAATAATAATAATGTAAAAGACAAAAGGAGAAACGCATAAAAATGGAGGCAACTAGTTGGCGAGCGCTCCTTCGGAAGCTTCACAACAATCAGCGCCACTTGACGCGCTCTCAGCCACCCGCCACGTGTCACGCTCTGGACGCTTCCTCCGGATTTTATTTTTTTATATTTTTTTCGCACGCGTTTTCGGCTTTATAAACGGGTTTTTTCTGGGGTTTTCGGCGTTTCGGTTTTTCACCGGTCTTGCTTAGCTTTTGGACAAAAAAATTCAAAAAAAAACTTTTTTTGCACGAAAAAACATGTTTTTTTTGTTTTTTCTTCTATGAGAGTCACGGTTTTGCTTTCGCGAGAGGCACGGTTTTGCTTTTGCCAGAGTCATGGCCGTGCCTCTCAGAAATGGAAAAAAAATGTGTTTTCTATTTTTTTTCCTTCCGCGAGAGACACGGTTTTGCTTCCGCGAGAGACACGGTTGTGCTTTCGCGAGAGTCATGGCCGTGCCTCTCGGAAACGAAAAAAAACGTCTTTTCTATTATTTTTTCCTTTCACGAGAGGCACGGTTTTGCTTCCGCGAGAGGCACAGTTGTGCTTTTGCGAGAGTCACGACCGTGCCTCTCGGAAATAAAAAATGCGTCTTCTGTTTTTTTTCTTCCGCGAAAGGCATCTGCGTACCTTTTTCAGAAAGGAAAAAAAAACATGCTCCCGGTTTGGTTTTTTGTCCTGTTTTTTTCGTGAAAAAAAAGTTTGTCAAAACCTATCAACATGGGATCTAATTATAAAGATCTCGACGCAAAGAATCCAACTGTGAAAACGGTTCGAGATTTGGACGCACGGTTTAAGAGATAAAACATTTTGAATAAACGGATCTACGAAAAAAGAGAAAACACACAGGTTGCGACAGTGGCGTATATGCAGCACGCCACTTGTCGCAACCTGGGAAGGTGAGGGTAATTTTTATAATGAGTACTCGTCAATTAGTGATTTTGCATAAAAGTACAAAAAGAAAGAAAAGGGAAAGAGGAATGTGCTAGCCAGTACAGGTAATGGGCTTCAGCACAGTAGCAAATCGACTAATCCAAATATGTCCACGCCGGGCCACGCCGGGCCTCCTAGGACCACCAGTGTAATTAGACATAAACGAATCCCTATTAGTGTCAGGATGCTAAAAGTACGGCAATTACCGGCTCAGACATGTGTTTTTCTTTTACTGGTCACAGACATGTGTTTATTCGTCTACAAGTCACTTAATTTTTTTTTGCGGGGTACAACTTAAGCATAATACATCCCCGAAGATGCTCTACGTCCAATTGTCAGTTTACTCTGCAAGAAAATTGTCAGTTTACTCTGTGTTGTTACATAACACAAAGTCTGCAAGGAACATCGGCAAGCCACAACCATGGGAGCATTAATTTTTTTTGCATAAAACTATTTATGTAATTTTGAAAAACTCTTCACATATTTTCTTTCATAGATATGCATGTGGACAAATGTTCAACAGTTCCAACCCAATAAATGTGCATGTAGTTTTCAAAACATATGAAATCAGAGATGGAGATCAATTCAGATGTAAAAATCTGAGGTGATGGATCAGATGGGCTTGATGATACAAGAAAATGTGATGAATAACACCAATATCTTCTTTCGGACAGGTCGTAAACATAAGGCAAGTGGTCCGTTAGCGAAAAGATGGGTAGATTATCAGAACAACAATCTTACAAACAGAACTGGTTGAGCATAGATGATGCATGACGAGTTCCGGAGTGACGTCTGACGTCAAAGTGAAGCGAGAACGAGCTCCGGACGGTGGCGCGAGGATGAGCTTGAGGTCGTGGGAGCGGCAACTAAAACATGCCCTAAGTCGGTGATGCTTGAACTGAAAACCACCTATAATGCATCCTTGACTCCGTAGTTTGCTTAATTTTTCTGTTGGAATTCACGAGCCCTTTTGCTAGTATAATTTAAGGGATATATTAAAATTTGGTAATATCATCATAAACTCGGAGGCAACCCCCGCCGCCGCCGTCGCCGCCGCACTTCTTCCCGCCACTACCCTTCTCCCGCCGCGCCAACGCCAGAGTCCCAGCCGACGAAGCGCGCACTGGTGCCTGGGAAGGCGGTGACGAGGTCTTTTTTCCATTGGTGCAACTGACGCCTGCCCACCAGCCAGGGCCATCCACGTTTTTTGCTTCGGCCATTGCTGGTACAGCTCATCGCACCGGCGCGGATCCGGTCGTCCCATTCCTAGTCTCCAGGCACCCCTCCCGGCCTTTGCCTGGCACCGGTGAGTGCCCTCGTGCGCTCCTGCTCTCGTGCTAGATCTGGCTGAGCTGGAGGCAGGGGTTTCCTCGGCTAGCTCGAGTCCTCCCATCCTTGTGCGGTGGCGGATCAACGACCGTCTTGCTCCCCGAGTTGCAGCTATGGCTGTGGGGCTTTGGCCTCTGCAAGTTTCCAGTTGATCTTCCCAGCGGCGATTGCTCTTGTAGTGCGCCAGCCTGGTGGCAAGGCTGGCGCTTTGAGGCCCATGGTCTCTTGCCAGGGCGGCTCTTGCCACGACAGCCCTGGAGGCTCCGGTCCCGATGCTTTGGAGGCGGCGTTCTCCATCCTGTTCGGTTTGTCGGTGTACTGACGGCCTCGACTCCGACGGTCCGGATCAGCGTCTCTCTAGTTTCGGGCTTGTTGTCGGCGCCGATCGTCATCTTTTCCCATGCGGCCACCCCTACACATCACCGCCTCCCCAACCCTGGTCACCTCCTTGGCCCGTCCCTTCCATAGCTCGCGTGTCCGGAGGTGCCCGGTGCCTCTGTGGCGCCGGACGTAGCTCCCCTTCTTGTGGCGTTGGCTTTGAACAACATTGGGTTTCCATGTCTTCTTATCATGATTCGGCGGCTACGGGGTTGCTCAGACTCAGGTCAGGGCGAAAATCCCTCCCTGACTTCCTATTGCTGGTAGCAACGACCCTTGTGAGTGTCGTTCCCTCCTTGGAGGCGCTACCATGGCCCCTTTATGTGCCCCTCTTCGAACATCGAGAGAAACAATAGGTCCGATTCCTCTGATCGAACGGCGACGGTGCCACGATGTTGTTCTCCTTCTTGAAGCCGTTGTCTTTTTGGCTCCCGGCATCCCGGGTGTTGGTTTTGAAGATGTTGGACGTCACGTTGATTCGGGCTGCCGCTCAAGGCATGGGTTTCCGAGGCGCTATGTATGACTTCCATGGTGCTTCCCCCTTGTCTTCTGCCCCCAACTTGGCCGGGTCCTGCTACTCACTTGCTTATCTCCCGACGCTCTTGGTGGGGGTACGTTGATCCTAGCGAGGCTGGTGCAGTGGATGCGCGGCGGAGGCTCACGATTTTGAGACGTGGTCTGGGTTTCTTGTGTCCCGCCTCCTCGCCCTCCATGGCTCCAGTCCGGGCTAGGCGGCTTTAACTGTGTTATTCCTTTCTTTAGGCCGAGTATCTCATGTCTCCCTGCTCCGGACACCATGTTCAGTTGCTCACGCCCTTTTGCGTTTGGGTCATGTGTTGTATCCTCTCTTGTACTAATTCTCTTCTTCTATCAATGGAATGACACACAAGCTTTGTATATTCATGATTTTTTTCAAAAATAATTCCTGATCTGGGGAAGCGGGTTTGCTGTCGAGGAGAAAGTGTAGTTGCTCCTACCTGCTGCTGACTGTCCAACGAACCCAACCTGAACCTACTGCACTCTTCTCGCCGAAATGGAGACCAACTCCGATTCCCCACCAACGGAGGAGTACGGGCGCCGGCTGTTCGCGGCTAGGTCCGGCATCCTCACCGTCGAGGCGCTCTTCCGGTCTCAGTCCGTGGCGGGGAGAGCCATGCGCGCGCTGGTGCACGACCCGCACCTCCTGTGAGCAGGTCGCCGGCGGTGCCCTTCTCGCAGCCATGCACGGTGGACGTCCTCTGCGGGGAGACCTTCGCCAGGCGTGTAGGGCCGCGTATCGTGGGCGGCGGGTGCGCTGCTGAGTGTTGTTTGTCAACTCGTTCCATGAAACCGAGCAGACGGTGAGGTACCTTGCTCGTGCCCGCAACCTGTTTGCTGTTTTGCTCAAGAGGCAGGTGGACCAAAACTCAGCTGGAGTGATGTAAACTTACGCCTCACTGTTCTAAGCAGGGAGAAGGATTACCTGGCGTCAACATGGCGTGTGAAGTCCATCAGCCCGACAGCGCCGCCGTTCTACCTCGACGACCATTGGTTTGACATCTTTGAGTATTGAGAGCAGAGCACCGTGCATGGCATGGCTGGATAGCCAGCTCCCTTGCTCAGTCGTCTATGCCCTTCTAACTTCTATGAAACTGTCACTGACCTTGACCAGAGTCTGTTAGAGGAGATAGTCAATGGAGTCTGCAAATCTGGTAAGCAGTTCCTCTGGGGTCTCTGATCCGTTCACGAATACAAGGTTTCAGAGCAAGCCCGTGAAGTGTAGGATAGAGGGCTAAATGTTGAATGGTGTCCCCAGCTTGAAGTTTTACCACACAAGGCCTAAGGTATGTATGTTTTACTTACAACTGATTGTGTGATTTATTAAGCAGCAGAAGAAAAAAAAATCCATATAGCCATCTTACAGGTTCGTATATGAACATTTGAACACTGTGCCACTGAATGTGTAAAGTACATTGTCAAAGTTTATAAGCAGAGCAATATAATAACCATCACTGTTTATGTGAGGTGTTGTGATGTCTGATAATGTTACTGCATAGTAATATTCCCTAATTGTTCTTATTTTTCAGATGATGAAATGAAATAAATGTTAACGTCCTAGCAATTACAGATTAGTGTGCAAAGGCGCCATTCTCCAGTTATAGCAACACAATGCCATATTAATCAATTTCAATGTGAAAAAGGCAACACAATGCCAAATCTTGTAAGCTGTAGCTTATCTCTTAATTAAATCTAATTATGTCTAACTCAAAGTATAAAAGGGATGTGAATCCTGCATAATGTGTAGTGAACATATGGAGTGATCTGTTCCAAATAATTAAGTAGCTAGTAAAAAAATATTATGTCCGTTCTGAACTCATCAACAGGTTGTTTCTTAACTCCGTGCGGATGGAGCTCTGCAATAGAAGCAATTACTACTGGCGTACCACTGTTGGCAATGCCTCAGTAAATGTTTTTTTTTCGAGGAGCCTCTGTAAATGATTAACCAACTACAACAATGCATTGGTGTGGTGACAAACGAAAATTGGTGTGCGGATGCATCATGGTAAAGGTGCAGTGAGAAACCAAGAGGTACATAAAAGAAGTATTAGATGGTGAATTTGCGTCCAATTATGCTTCAAATTGTTGTTGAAACATTCCTAACGTGGTCTAAAGGAGTTATATTCGAAACTGTGATCATCTCTAAACTGCAATTTTATACTGTTACTGGGGGGAGAATGCCTACTTTTGTTGTGTTAATAGAAATTATAATTTAGAGGTATATTATCTTTGGGGGTAAACAACTTTGAAAGTATCGTTCCATCTTTGTTTTCTTGACGCTTGCATTTCTGTTGCACTAATGCAAGTTCTCTTGTTTGTCAGATCAGTAAGAAAAGAAATTAGTTTAAGACAGAGCAAAACTACGCAACTTCAAAAGGTATGGACACATATCTTAAGTCTCGTTGTTTCCTTCAGAAATTATTACATAGACCACACAAACCATTATATCCCTGTTTATATCCAATTATAGAAGGAATCATTAATTGTCAAATTAAACTGATCACACAATAAATAAATTGACTACCGGGGGTACCTTGATGACAACAAATACTCTGCTTCATAGCTATACTGCTGGCTTGTTTCCTCCATGTTGGTACCCCCAATCATTGGATACTTCGGCACATCCATGTCATGCATTACAAAACTATCATGCGAGCCCCCAAGGTTCTCCAGTGTCATCTCCACTTGCCTCATGGTTGGCCGGTGGTCTACTTCAATCCTCACACATGCCACTGCCAACACAGCTACTTCTTCAACCTCCTTGCCCCCTTCTTTCATGACCTGAGGATCTAGCACGCGAGCCAGCTTGCCCGCTGCTAGCGAAGCGGTGAAATATCTGACAAGGGTTTCCTCCTCGGATGAACGATATGAGCATGGTTTCTTCCTAGTGAGAAGCTCCATGAGGAGGACGCCGAAGCTGTAAACGTCGCTCTTCTCGGTGAGCTGTCCCGAGTAGAAGTACAATGGGTCCAGGTACCCAAATGTCCCTTGGATAACGGTTGCGGTCTCTGCTTGATCGACTTGAATGCACCTCGAAGCTCCAAAGTCTGACACCTTTGCTATGAGACTGCCATCTAACAGAATGTTTTGGGACTTGATATCCCTGTGGACTATAGGAAAGGACACCGCCGAGTGAAGGTAGCCGAGCGCTCTCGCAGTTTCGGTTGCGATCCTTAGCCGATCTTGCCATGTTAGGGATGGCGCTGGTTCCTGGACATGGAGATGATGGTAGAGGGTCCCATTGGGAATGAACTCGTACACCAGCAGCGGCACCTCCGTCTCAAGGCAGCACCCAAAGAGCTTCACCACGTTTCGGTGGTTGATCTGTGAGAGGATGGCCACCTCATTTATGAACTCGTCAATCTCCCTCTGGATCGCGACCTTGGACTTCTTGATCGCCACGACATGTAGGTCCGACATGATGCCTTTGTAAACCGTGCCGTGCCCTCCTCCACCGATCTCACGAGCTTTGTCGAAACTGTTTGTGGCCTTTTGTAGTTCCACCAAGGGGACGATCATCCTCTCGGCAATGTCCGCCTTCTGAGACACCAATTGTTGCAACAGATGCCCTCGATTTTGCCTGAAGAATCTCTTCTTGAGCACTTTTGCCCGCCGTTGCTTCATCTTTCGCGTCACAAAAATAGCACCAAGTACCATGAGGAGAAGGCTGGCTCCACTGCCAACTCCTATGCCGACACTTAAACCTGAAGAATGTCCACAGAAAATGTGTCTTTGTTATCAAGGAAGAGTCTCTAGCATATTCTAGAACAGAGCATGAACTGTGCTCCAATCTGCATGTATTATTGGTTTTGGTGCTCACCTAGAGAAGATTTGATGCAGCCATTTCTTATGAGCGGGTCGCCTTGGGCGCCACGTGGGCACCGGCATAGGTGTCCTCCCGCCGTGTTGGTGCACTCGCCGAAGCACATGCCCGGAAGCGCGCACTCATCGATGTCTTGGCATCCGCCCGCGAGGTATGGGTTGCCTTGGTACCCGTCCAGGCACCGGCACACATAGCCGCTGCGATACATGCCGGAGACATTGCGGCAGGAAGCATGGCTGCTTTGGCACGCGCTCCTCCGTGCATCCACGGGGCAGCCCGACGTCGCCACCCCCGGCAGCACCACCGGCTTGGAATCCACCACAAAGTCCAGGACGACGGGCACTGCCGGCCCGCGGGAGGGCGAGTATCCGGTCGAGTCGTTGAGGAGCGTGGTGGAGGCGCCTTCGAACCATCCTCTCTCGGCGATACGCACCGCGATGGGCAGCCTGTCGGTGTACTCGTTGCTCGCATCCAGGGACTTCATCTCCACGCCGTAGGAAGGGCGGCCGATGGGGATGGGCGTCTCGCAGCAGCCGATGCCAGAGCAGGCGGCACCGCCGTAGCCAGCGGCGCTCGTCACGGCGCCCGTCCACCTGTCGTTGATGGAGCAGAAGGAGGAGCAGCAGCCTACGACGCCGCCGTCCCCGACCAGCGTGGCCTGCACGTTGCACCCCGTCACGACGAAGTGGTTGCGCATCTCCGAGAGCACGTAAGGGCCGCTGGCGCCGAGGCCGCCCCAGGTGCCGTTGCCATCGAGCCCCCCGGAGAAGGTGAGCTTGACCTGGCCTGCTCTGTCCAAGATTCTCACCGTGGAGTTGGCCAGAGAGATCTCCACGACCTGGAGGTCGCTGCCGATGAGCAGCCGCGGCTCTCTGCCGCGTGTCCGGTCGCAGGTCAGGTTGAATCCTGGCCGGTGGCATCCATTCCCGATGCCGAACGGGTACGGCACTTTCACGCCGCCGCAGCTGGTCGGGCAGCGCGGCGGGGGCGTCCCTGCGCCTGGCGTAACCTGAGCCGCCGCCGTTGAGAGGCAGAGCTGCAGGAGCAACACCGCCAACGCTGCTGCCGGAATCATCGTCGGATAGTAAAATGATACCAGCCGGTTGTTCGACGACTGTCTCTCCAATCCATTACTATAAAGCTTACTACAAGTTGGGCAGGTTGCAGTAGAGCAGCCGCAACCTACCGTGATAGAGAATGCTACCGAACACGCGTGCATACATGTGCGCCTTGACTGACCTGGTCTAGGCTACACAGAGATATAACTATTTTTTTACCATTGTATCTACATTCTCACATTACTTTTTTTTATTTGTGAATTTTCTATGCGATTGGAAAACACATGGCAAATAACTTTTTATTGGTTTATAGTTTGGGTGAGAGCAAAGCATAACCAAATGATTGTTTAGCCAATGATAGATTTCGCACCACGGAATGAATCAAATAACTGAGAATGCTGTTTAGGCCACGTAAGGGATTTTCTTTTTTGAAATGCGCGTAAGGTGAGGACCGGTTCAGCTAAACCAGCTCAACTATAAACCAGATGGGTGAAGCTTCAAGTCCCGAATGAAGGTGAGCGACAGTACATGATTAGCACAAGGTTTTTGGTGCTGTTTCATCAGGTCCGGTGATTGAAGCAAAAAAAAAAATTGTTCGAGGGTGCAAGAAGCCAAGATTAGCGGAAGGCTGAAGGTGACTCAGGGTCCGGTGACGGAAGCAACAAAATGCATTGTTATTTCTCCTCTCCTTATCCCAGTAGATGGTGTGAAAAATGGGCACGAGTTATCTTCATTTGCCATATGTAAACAAGACATTTACGATGGCTACATACTTAGAACATGTAGGCAAAAATCCTACACATGCAGAAAATAACTTATTGACCCATCTCTTCGCTTAACTAATCCCTCCTCCTTTGATTTTCAGCCATACCTTGACGTCTAAACCCGTACTTCTAACCGTGTACAATTCCTTCCTAGGTGTAGCGTCTCTCTATTATTGGCACTCTCCGTATACGGCTGCATCCTGAAGAGAAAAAAGGGCCACACAAATTTGTAATGCAATGTGTGATGGTGTTGGTAGTGGAACAAGATACCTTTCTGCTTTGTAATAATGTCCATCCATTATTATTTTTCATATATGATGCTGTCCAACCTACTGCAAGATGCCAGGATTCAAAAGTTAATAATAATGAAGATCTGGTTGTCCACTTCCCAGAAGCTCCAGAACCAATCTTTTGATGATACGATTGTACAAACTCTGAAGTTTTGACGGGATAAAAGGCAACTCCACACCCCGATAAATGCAACATTCTTAAACTCTCGCACCAAACAATTCTAGTTGCAATGACGCTGAGACGCATGCAGTTTAGTCGAGTGCAAACGCTCGCTGTTGCATCTTCAATGGCACAGATACAGTTGACACCCTCCTGCAACCCTGCTTCGGCAACACCCGCACTCAACCACCCCAAGTTGCAGACGCGTTGAGGGAGTACAGTTGCAGTCGAAGGAAACACTTGCACTTGCATGTTTAATAACGAACATGCAACTATTAGCAATTTTTAAAAATATTCATAAATTTAAAAAATAATCATTATTTTGAAAAATATTAATGAATTGGAATAAAAAATAAAAAGAAAATGAAAGAGAAAAAGAAAGAAAAACTGTAAAAAGCAACAGAGAAACCTTAGTAAAAAGAAAAAAAAACTTTATAATCTTCTCCAAACTGATAAAAAAAACCATGTACATGACTTGGACCGTTTGTGTGGTGTGTGCGTTCGCTCACATTTCTACCAACTTCTCTGCATGTCAAAATCAAAAAAGAAAAAGAAAAACTGCTCTGCCACGTAATTGAGAAAAAAGAACGTAGCTGCCAACAGAGCGTGAACACTAATACTAACTGAACAATCAAGACGAACAAAGATTCCCGGCAAGAAAAGATAAATAAAAAATAGAATCTTGTAGCCCAGCCAGAACAGCACAAAAATAAAGGCAAACCATACAAAATAAAACGTGAACCCCTAAGCGAACCAACATGTGATTGGATGGTTAGAAGGACATTGGTACCCCAGACCACTAGGCAGATGCGGAGCCAGCATCGGATTACACCTAGGGCTAAATAGCTTGAATGGTGCAATTTGATGATTTGTTTTCTACTTTCTGACAAGAAATTACAATGGCCATTGTTACTAGGCCTAGGGCTATAGCCCTACTTGCCATAGGCCTTTCTCCGCCCTTGCCACTAGGGTTCAAATCCTGGTGCTTAAATTTATCATGAATTTATTCAAGGTCAGGGCTTGACACGTGTCATGTTACGGCCTCATTTGAGTGCAGAAAAAGTTTCGAGGCCAACAGGAAAATGGCCCCACACTTTCTTCACAAACTTGACACATACCCTCTTGAAAACTAGATCCTCCCTCGGAAGCTGCTTTACTGATTATATATTCACAAAAAAATTGAACACCTTCCCTCTCATGTACTGGCAGTATATATTCAGCACAAAAAACTCTAGTTAGTGCACATATCCCCATTTCAACAAAACATAGCAATTTTTACTAATTAACTTCCTTTTTTCGATTTTCTTTCTCTTTCCATATTGCTAAACTATAGTACACATGAATTGACCTAGCTACATCTATATAAACAAATTAAAATGTTATATCCTCTCCTCTTGGAATTTATAAAAGATAAACAAAAAACTAAAAAAATAAAACATTAATATCAATATCCATATAATCTATCCGATTGTCCATACAATCCATGCGTGCATATCAATACCCATACAATCAAGCGACCGGCCATGCCACGTGGACTCATTTTGCCGTGTGTAAACCGAGTCTATTTTGTTTGCCGAGTTCCTTTTACCAGACTCTCAGCGCCGGCATGTCTGTGCAGGGTGCCACTATTTGCTGAGAAGTACTCTCGGATTATCCAGTCTTTTCCGAGTTCCCGCAGTTTGGGTCTTGGCGTAGGCGTTTGTTCCAGATGTGACTCATATGAAAATACTCTTACGTGGTTTTATAAATAGTAGATGTGGATGAATTGCATCACATGCACGTTCAGAGTTTTGGATGTAATTTTAATACTAGAAGATATGAGATTGCTTCGACATTAAAAGATGTAGCTAATGTGCCCGCCAACTTCACATGGGCATCACTTACATATAATATACCACCTCCAGTCATAGCTAGAGGTATGCAAAACTCGCTATCTTCAGCTTATCGCGTCTGACTGTCTTATTTGCTATTCTCTAGCTTACACAAATGGCGGACTTCTGTTAAGATTTAGTAGCAAGACAGAGAGACAAGAATAAAAAGAAATCTGATAGTGGAATGAGAGGCATCTGCAAGCACATCCCCTAGACCATGAAGTGCTGTGGTGGTAGACAATAAGTTTTATCTGCAAAATGCGGAAGGCACATAAGATGAGTTTGGAAGAACTTCACTTCACTTCAGTCTCATCCTACCTATCCACTCAACCTCTCAACCCCAGTTCACCTTTCAACTAGCTACAGAAGATGGATTAAAGAGTTAACCCAAATGCAGGTTAGAGAGGATTGATATCAAAATACCAACGACCACGTGTTTCTTTTCGTTTTCTTTAATTGATAATCTATTGTTTCTTCATGCTACATGTGATAAATAGCAGATGATCATGCACATAAAGTGAGGATTTGGTGCCCAGAGGGTGTGGTACCCCCACTACAGGCCACTGGATGTTCATCCTGCGGTATGTTTCTGGTTCTGCAATAGGTAGGACAACCTAACATAATAGGTAGGACAACATAACATGGTTATCGTAAGTATCTGGAACAATAGTAAGACTTGCATGGGGAAGTACATGGATGAACCCGGATACATATGAACCTACTTTGAAAAACACATTTCTAAATGCTAAAAAAAATCCGAAAAAGGCGGCATGGGTATGTATTCATGTTCTATGTGCGAGCATAAAGTTTCACGGAAAAATAACTTTTTTTGTGGCCTGTGCAAAAGAGACAAAAAATTGTGTCGTGAAACGCTATTTAGAAGCACGGAAATTTGTTTTTTTACGGAGACAAAACAAAAACATATTTTTGCACAAAACTTTGCGTCGTGCACATACATTTGTGAACATGTATGCATGAAATTTTCTTTTGATTTTTTGACATTTTAAAACGTGCTTAAAATGCATTTTTTAAAAAGTGGATGCAGATGCCCCTTGGTTCAGATCGTGCCCACTCGACTTGCATGGATCTGGTATACCGACTAATAGTGGATAGAAGATGGGTGCTGCACCAAGCTATGTCTAGGCAATGAGTTGCATGCACGTGTACTGCATTTGGGCGCACATTTTCTAGCTTCCCCCTTCACACCCCTATATTCTGCGTGCTAATTTTGGCACCGTTTTTCGCACTAAGAAAACTGACTGCCACGTAAACTTGTAAATTTTCAGCAGTACTACCTCTGTTTTTTTAGTCCGCACATTAGCTTTAGTCAAAGTCAAGTTTTTAAAAAATTGACAAAATTTATAAACAAAAGTATTAACATCTGCAATAACAAATCAATACCATCAGATGCATTATTGAATGTACTTTCACATCATATAGTTTTCTTATAGTAAATCTTTGTACTTTTTTATATAAATTTGGTCAAACTTTACGAAGTTTGACTTCAGTCAACTCTAATCTGCAAAGTAAATAAAAATGGAGGGAGTATTAAAACTTGCAAATATACACTGCAGCATAAAGCATGCAAATTATCAATAAACAATAAGTGTAAAAATTTGCAAATAAACATTGTAGCGTAGAATTTCTTAATAGTTTTATGTGGAACCGAATGGGATACTTAACTCTCCTAATCGGTTCTAAAGCCTGAATATACTGGGGTATTTGCTCTTGTTTGGCATTGTTGGAACCCAAAACCGACCAAGGGTTGTGTAATAGAACCTCCTTCTAAAGTTTTTTTATCTTTCATTAGATTACTTTTCAAGGTCATGCTTTCATGACATAGAGAGATTGCTATTTAAGGTGCCACATGCACTTTTTCAACTCTTTTGTTAGGCGAGTTCTCATACCACAAGAAGAGGGGAAAAAATAGGACTACAATGCCATGCTCGCTTAAATCCAACATGTCTGTATAGACATTTGACTCATCAAATGAAAATAATAGAAAATATTCTAGGGAGTTTGATCCAATTAATATTCTTATATGAAATGAAGTGTGTTAGAACAATCATATGAATC